GTTGAAGAGCGTAAAATAAGAAAAGTAAAAATGTAATTATCATAATGTTTTTATAATTAATAATTAATAATTAACTTTATAGTCATAAAGCAATTATTTTTAATTTTCTATGTTGTTACAATCTTTTTTTTCACTCTTAAGTAATTTTCCCTAAATTTATCACATTTAGGTTTCTTTTTGGATATGTCTTGTTTTTTGATAGTTTACTTATTACGAAAAAATGTGTAAAGAAGTAAAAATATAATAAAATAGAAATATACCAATAATCGATTTATTTGGATTGTCCTCAAAATAGGTTTCAATACTCATATTTTAAGGGAAAAAAAGGTGTCTACTATATGCATTTTATAACTAAAGTAGAAAATGACATAATTTCATAGTTTTTAAACCATAACTAAAATTAAAAAGAGTAATAATTGAGACCCCCACCCCCACAAGACCCTCACAAATCTGGACCACTCATGATGTAGACCCCACATATACATGAGTGGGCCCAACACATACATGAAGGGCTAGAATCACTTTGGGGGTGTAGAGGTTATCCCCAAAGGAAGTCCCAAACATTTTTTCATTTAAAAAAAAAAGGAGAAGTTATAACCAAACACAACATGAGTCATAACTAAAAAAATTATGAGTAAAAAAAGAGAGATTTGGTCAAAACTTACTCATAATAAAATTTGAATACATTAAGGACAAGTTTAAAAAAATTTCTTTGAAAAATCCAGCAAATACCACTATTACCAAATATCCTTAATAACTAATTTAATATTTTAAACTTTAAAATGATATAACTTTTGATCTAAATGTTAATTTTTAATAAAATTAGTATCTTTAAAATTCTCTTATCAAGATCTATCAAATAAAATCTATGTTAACTATGAAATTCTTAAAAAAAAAAAAATTTACCTTCGAAATTAACGTAACAATAACATGTTATTTTGTTTAAAAGTAACATGTTATTGTCTTCTTAAACAAGGCATCTAAAGAGAGTTAATTAGATTGACGATGCTTGTTCGTTGAAAGAGGCTAGAGTCTGTTTCTATGCTTCTTGAGATTCTTTAACTTCTACTTAAAGATCGCTTTTCTATTCTTCCGCTTCAACTTCTGAAGGTTTCAATTCCTTGTGCGAGGTTGCGAATGCGAACACCAACCAATAAGAGCAATAATTGAGACCCCCACCCCCACAAGACCCCCACAAATCTGGACCACTCATGATGTAGACCGCACATATACATGAGTGGGCCCAACACATATATGAAGGGCTAGAATCACTTTGGGGGTGTAGAGGTTATCCCCTTTGGGGGTGTAGAGGTTATCCCCAAAGGAAGTCCCAAACATTTTTCCATTAAAAAAAAAAGAAGAAGTTATAACTAAACACAACATGAGTCATAGCTAAAAAATTTATGAGTAGAAAAAGAGGGATTTGGTCAAAACTTACTCATAATAAATTTTAATACATTAAGGACAAGTTTAAAAAAATTTCTTTGAAAAATCCAGCAAATACCACTATTACCAAATATCCTTAGTAACTAATTTAATATTTTAAACTTTAAAATGATATAACTTTTGATCTAAATGTTAATTTTTAATAAAATTAGTATCTTTAAAATTCTCTTATCAAGATCTATTAAATAAAATCTATGTTAACTATGAAATTCTTAAAAAAAAAAAAAATTTACCTTCGAAATTAACGTAACAATAACATGTTATTTTGTTTGAAAATAACATGTTATTGTCTTCTTAAACAAGGCATCTAAAGAGAGTTAATTAGATCGACGATGCTTGTTCGTTGAAAGAGGCTAGAGTCTGTTTCCATGCTTCTTGAGATTCTTTAACTTCTACTTAAAGATCGCTTTTCTGTTCTTCTGCTTCAACTTCTGAAGGTTTCAATTCCTTGTGCAAAGTTGTGAATGCGAACACCGACCAATTTCAAAACCCTTGCTGATGCAAGGTGTGACAACCCTCGTCACTGTTTACCGATTAACCACTGATTACTGCTAAACTGAGACTGATTATGATTGGTAACTGAATTGATTGAAGTACTGAACTGACTGACTGAAATCTGGAACTGAATTGATTAAGTATATCTGTTTAATTGTATGTCTATCTGTTGACTGTTTGATTATCTGTTCATGCCTTTGTGTTTAAATTGCGAATTGAAGGCCTTATCGGCGGCCGAATCTGAAATTGATTGACAATTTGTGTTCATTGGAATTTATATGATTTTATGGTGCATTTATCTAAAATGTGATTTGGTATGATTAAATTGGATTAAAATGAGTTAAATTACAAGAGTTGGACTTAATTGCCATTTTGCCACTTAGTGGACTTTCATGAGCCTCTTAGTTGATCTCTAATGCTAACATTACAACACTTCATCAACCCATTTTTCTTAGACTTAGCCGACTAGAGAGAGAGAGCTAGGAGAAGGACTTGATTTCAACCAATTGCTTGGGAACTTGGTAGAATTGAAGAGAGAATTGGCAAATTAAGCTTCCTCACCTTATATTGGAGACCTAGGTAAGGGAATTCAACCTCTCATTGTTGTGTTTAGAGCTTGTTCTTGCATGGTTTTGAGCAAAGTTGAAGTCTAGAGCCAACTTATGGCTTAAATTGTTGAATTGGAGCTTAATTATTGCATGCATGGTATACCCTTGCATTTTAGAGCTTGTTCTTCATAAATTTGCCACATGCATGTCCATGTTATGATCATAAACCATGTTTTCACCTTGTCTTTGAAATATTGGCTCATTAGAACATGAATTGAAGCTTTGAAATGGTTTAAATTCATGCATGTTATGTTTGAATTATGTTCATGAAAATTGGTTTCAAGTTGAGTTGAATTGATCTTCCTTTTGGGCCTTGATTTTACAAATTGAGCTTTGAATCATGTTATTCTATGTATTTACAAATGTTTTCCAGGAAAAGGGCCCAAAGGAATTGGTTTTAATGCATTTGAACTTGGTTTGAGCTTGGAAGTTCAAATCTGGAAATTCCAGATTTTGAACTCACGCTCGAGCAGGGTGACTGGCGCTCGAGCGTGAAATTCGTGCTCCCAGTACTTTGCACTGTTTTGATGTCCGCTCGAGCGGAATAATTGATGCTCGAGCGAGACATTGTGTCTCATGCTCGAGCGGGTGTCGAGCGCCCAATCGAGCGTGATTTTCACCTATCCAGCACTTTTGACTGTTTTGCAGAACGCTCGAGTGGGTAAGTCTACGCTCGAGCGGAAACCTTTGTCTGTATGTCCGCTCGAGCGGAGTAACCTACACTCGAGTGTGACCCCTGTTTTCTGAAAATTCTGAAAATGCTTTTAAAGTGTATCTTTGCATCCTCATCTCATCCTAGGCATTATTAGGCCTAGTTTAAGGCATCTTAATGAGAATATAGATGTAGAACCACGCCGAGGCAAATTAGGGATTAAGTTATTATTTTCCCAACCGTGTAGCTTAGTGTGTGTTCAATCTGTAAACTGTGTAGGGTTGGCGACTGGGGACGCGCTCTAGCTTTACTGTAGTCTAGAACTCTGTGAGTAACAACTGTGTAAAGATATGTTCAAAATGATTATCTTCTAAACAATTGAACTGTACTGCTTTCTAAACTGATACTGATACTTGAATGAATGTATGTCCTATATTCTGAACTGTATTGTGGCATCCTTAGTAACTACTGTTTACTGTTACTGTTATAGAGATCTCTGTCGGTTCCCTTGTTGGAACCACTACTGTTTACTGATTGATGGCCATTATTTACTGTTCGGTCTTTTAAGACCTACTGTTCACTGTACTGTTATGCTAATGGACGTACCACATATGACTGAATGACTGATTTACTGAATTAACGAACTGTTTTCATTACTGTAAGGATATTCATTCTTAACCTCTTTACGCATTACGTTATTCACTGGGCTTTAGCTCACTGCTCATATATATATATGTAGGTGTACAGGCACCAGACCACGGCTAGAAACACCGGGGTTAAGCTCCAGTTTTGTCAAGCCAACCACTGTGCCTCACTGCGAGGTTCCGAGCCTGTCAAGTTATGGCTTAGGGGTGTTTTAATTTCCCCGTCTGTCTCTGTATCTGTTTTGTACAAACTGTTTTGTCAACTGTATAGACTGTTACTGTGCTGTTTAATAGGGATTAGGTCCCTGAATTGAATGATTGTACATATGTACTTACTGTTCTGTTCTGTACTGTTCATGTATATGTGTATGAAAAAATCTTTTGCATACAGACTGTCACAGCTCATTGGACATTGTTTATTTACTGTATTGGCTTCCGCTAGGCCCCTGTACTCTATTTTACTGTATTACTGTTAAGGAGGCCTTGGGTAATCTCGGATTACTTGCCGGTTACGATGCTAAACCCATAGGGGCGGGTTTGGGTCGTGACACAAGGGAAGCAAACTGAGGCCGAGACCCTTCGGACAAATGGAGATTCTGTGAGGTCGGATGAGAGATTCGACCTGAAGAGATGTCTGTGAGAGATGCAACGCCATTGAAGCCCTTTGAGAAGTGACTAAAGCTAGGATTAGGGTTTGTAAGCGTAAAAGACTCGAGCGTAACAACCATGGTGCTGCTGCCTCTGTACACTAATTCTACAGAGAAAGTGTGTGGATTAGAGAGAGAAAAAAGGAGTTGGTGATCAGCAATGGCTGTTACGCTCAAGGCTGCAAACTCAACAAAATAGGTAAATTTGTCAATAAAAATATATCTGCACAGTATTCTTGTCGTATCTTAGTGAACTTTACACAATAAAAATTATTGGAGTGTTTTTTTCACCAAAGAAGTGTTCAAAGGAATAGTTTTAGCCAAATTTCTCTGTCTCATAATTTAAAAAAAAATAACATAATTAAAAATATATATGGTACGCTTTTAAAGGGTGTTTTGGTTAGAATTTCCCATATTTTTAATTACCCACATTTTAACAATTATTTCATCTTCTGCAATTTTCCCTCAATTTTAACACACTTGTTATAGTGTATACATGGAAGAAGCCTTGTAAATTAATTATATTAATTTAATAAATTAACAAAAACAGAAAATAGAGGGTTCCACTTCCATGTTCCAACAATCTCTGCAAAACACTCTTCATATATTTCTAGGGTTTTGGATTTCTGCAACATGACTGGGATCCGATCGCCGCCGGAGGACTCCGACGTATCACAGGCGCGACCGCCTACAGCCGCCGATCTAATCTCCGACGACGACCGCTCTGTGGCTGCCGACTCATGGTCCATTAAGAGCGACTACGGAAGTACTCTCGACGACGATCAGCGCCACGCCGATGCAGCCGAAGCTCTCTCCGCTGGAACCTTCCGAGCCGCCTCCGATTACAGGTCACAATGCCTACGAAATATTCTTGCGCTCTGTTTGGTTACTGTGAAAGCAGAAGAAAAATGAAATTTTAAAAAATTTGAACATTGAACAACCAATTAAACTGATTAGTAACGCATTTCAGTTTAAGGTTTCAGTTTTGGACCAAATACCTAAGAACAAGTTACATTTATATGTTTGTTTGTTGTTCAGTATTGGTTATGAGCTAATCTTTGAACTTAGTGTGCTTACAGAAGGGTAAAATTGTGTTCTGGTTTTGATTCAAATAATGGTTGTGTGACTTGAATCATACTGTTATGGATCATGATATTCTCTGATAAGAAGCTATATAGTGAAGTTATGAAAAGCAGATTGTGTGTTATGTTCAGATATTGGCATTCATAACTGTCAATAGCTGATTGATATAATTCATTTGTAATTAGGATGTGGACACTAATTTTACTGAGAAATGCTGATTTGATTATAGGAGAAGATGACATGTAGATGGCATATGTTGATAAATATTGCCAAACAACTTTGAACTCATGGCTTGGGTTTGTGGTGCTTTTGAGAGGAGCAAATTTGTGTAAATATATTATCGTTGGAGAAAGTTTTATGCCATTTTGATTTGAATATTGTATTTTAAATTTTAATTTGTGTATGAACAGTTCTGACAAGGAGGAACCAGATGCCGAAGCAGTTACATCAATGTTGGGTTTCCAGAGTTATTGGGATGCCACATATGCAGATGAATTGGCAAATTTTCATGAACATGGCCATGCTGGTGAAGTTTGGTAATTTTTTACTTTGGCAATTGTTATTTCTCCATTATGTTTGACCTTGTTGACTATGGATCCTAGGTCTTACTTCACAATCATTTGCTCACACTTTTTAAGCATGTTGTCATCTACCTAGCAGTAAAGGACCATCCTTAATAGGTAGTAGTTTGTACACATTCCAAGATTATACTTTTTTATTTTTCAAATATTTTTTGGGAAGAAGACATTTGGTTACCTCCTTTACAGCTTTTGAGGGGTGATTATAGGCTATTTTAATTTGAGAGTTTGTGTCAGAATGTTTGATGCAGTTTCTGCTTATAGCTTATTATTAGGTAGAAATAACTTAAATAAACTGATCATTAGAAATTGGGGTAGGGGTGCTTTTAGCTTATGCTTTCTAATTATCAACTTTTAGAAAAAGCTCCACCAAACAAGGCCATTATTGGGCTCCGTTATGCTAGAGTTTGCTACTCCATCTTGTACTCTGTTGTTTTAATAGTTTTTTTGATTTCTCTAGCTTGCTTGGGTTGATTAGTTTTTTTTTAAGAGGTCAGATTTTCGTTAATCAATAAATTACTTATATCCCTGCCAAAGCCCCTCTTTGGGGACATGCTTATTTCCTTGAAATACGGAGGATGAAGGTAGGCGATGTAGCATAGCTTTAGGAAACCTGGAATGAAGCGATTTATAATTGATTTTGTGGTTGGTTTCAAGAATGGAAATTTCCTTAAGATTTGGGTTTAATGGGTTGAAGAAAGTATCGGGATTTCTACACGGAAGAGGTTTCAATTTGTTAGATTCTCAAAGTGATTGGTTGTAAGAATTGTAGGCATATGATTGCTAGAAATTTTGGATAACAACTAATTATGCTATTTATTTGGGTGTTAATTTGAAGTTTAAAGCGTAAGAAAAGATTTAGGGTTTTGGCGCGAAATACCGAATGAATTCATAGATGATGTGAATATATCGAGGAGAATCGTAGAGAATTAAGAAGAAGAGGTCATAAGGAATTATCCCTTGAGAAGAAGGGGGGTTATGGTAGCTCGACAACCAATTTAAAATGTAAGTCCTATGGATTCTCTCGTTAGGGTGTTCCCTAGTTGTGATGTGTTGCATTGGAGCTTGGGTGTAGTGATAAATGAATAAGGGTTAGCTAGGGCGTTCCCTTAAGGGCCCAAACTTAGTTGCACGAAGCAAGAGCGGGGACAGGGACGGGAGCAACAGCAAGCGTGAGCCGATAGAAGTTTCGTAGGGCGGGAGCGGGAGCGGGAGCGGGAGCGAGGAAGCATGAGCCGATAGAAGTTTTTTAGGTAGGGAGCGCCTCAGGGAGCGGTAATATATATATATATATATATTTTAGTAATTATTTTTTAAATATATTTATTATATAAAGATGAGTTAAATAGTTATTTTTAAATGTATTTATTATTTTTATCTTAGGTATTATTTTTATTGATAATATTTTTAATTTATTTTTTATTTTTAATTGATATATATATTATAAATAAAAAAATATAACAAATAAGGAATAATAAAATATGTTAAAATAAATAATAAAAAATTGGATGATTTATTTTATAAATTTTATTAGATTTTTTTTATTATATATGATTTAATTAGATTTATTATTATATAACAAATTATATTATTTATTATATAACAAATTATATTATAATTATATTATTTATTATATGTTCAAAATGGGTGGGGGAGACAAATCGACTAGAGAGAGAGAGAGAGAGAGAGAGAGACGACGATGGCGATGAGATGTTGAAGAAGAGATGACAGAGAGAGAGAGAAGAGGAGATTGAGAGAGATGAAGACAGAGAGTGAAAAGGAGATCGCGAGCAGATTGAAGGCGATGTAATAGAGATCGAAGGCGATGTAACAGATCGAAGCCGTGTCCTAGAAACCCATGCCCTAAACCAGCGAGTCCATGTAACAGATTGACAACAAGACCAGGTTTCTCTCTCTCTCCCCTTTACGATCCCATCTTGGACTGAATTGCGTTTCTCTCTTCATAGAAACGCGATTCTTACACGTTTCTTTCTAGGAAACGCGGAATCACGATTCTTACTCTAAATTGTCACCTGGTTGCACGATTCCTGCAAGTAAGAGCCCAAGCGACATGCCACATCGACACAGTTAGAATGTAAAATGAAGAAATTTAGGGTTAGGGTTAGGGTTAGAGTTAGAGAGGAAGAAGGAGAGAAAAGAGAGATATTGTGAATACGTGGTTTAGAGTTCTTGAATTACTCTACACTAGCAAAATATATTTATATAAAACTTGACATTACAAAATGACCATAGTACCCTTAACTAAATTATGACATAAGAACATATAACTATTCTATCATTGCCCCTCAAGTTAGAGCATAAAGATCAAACATCCTAGCTAGAAAGATGAGTGATGGAAAGAAGGCCGAGCCAAAGGTTTGGTGAGAATGTGACCCAGTTGATCTCAGAATGAACATAAAGAGTCACAAGTTGCTTGCGTAGTAAGAGATCTTGAATGGCATGACAATCAATCTCAAAATGTTTGGTACGCTCATGAAACACAGGATTATTGACAATAAATATAGCATGCTAGCAGCTTGATTATCACAACACACATACTCATAGGAGTGGGAACAGAAATACTAAAATCCTGTAGGATATGAGGACAGCTCTCAGTGTCCAGAAAATGTAAGCTCTCATTTTCATGTCTCGAACCAATCATCCTCTTGGTCTGAAGGTCCTGCAAAACACATGAAGTGAGAGAAAAAGTTATAGAACAAGGAAGAGCTTTAGTCAATCGACTAACAGAAAGCAAATTAAATGAAAAATTAGGAACATAGAGACTAGAAAGCAAGGAGAGGGATGGAGTGAGGTGAAGAGGATCCTGACTATTGACAGGTCGAGAAGACCCATCAACAAGTATAATATTATGGGTAATGGGCCTAAGAGTATCGAAAAATTAGGAATTACCAAAGATATGAGAACTAGCGTCAGAGTCAATGAGCAAAGGTTAGGTGGACTGAGCCACACTTGCAATATTACTTGAACTAGCCACAATAGCTGTAGAGGATAAAGGTAGACCAAGTCGGAGAGAATGGACAAGGCCAGTAAGCTTAGTAATCTAAGTAGTGAGTGCCTCATGAGAATCAACTAGAGAAGCAACAGTGCCAGCGGGAAATGAGGTAGACTGCGGGAATGGAGCATTCATGACCTGATGCCCATGACCAAGTTTGCCATACTTCTGCCAACACCAAGATTTAGTATGGCCTAAGGAACCACAATAAGTATACTTTTGATCACCATGAGATAGAGAACCAAGTCCAAGACCAGCACGAGAACCACCACCATGAGAACTACCTCCACGAGAACCTCGGGAGCCAGAATTGGAGCGCCGGTGACCAGAGTGTCCATGAAAACTCTCTCAACTAGGCCCACGATCACCATTGCTAGGAATCAATGCAAAAGAGGACAAGGAAGAGGAACTAGAGGTGGGTTGGGCTTGTCTCAACGAAGAATGCAATAGTCGAGAATAGGCATTAGCAGCAAAAGGTGAAGCCTCACTGGTGAGAATCTGATCCTTGAACCCCCATAAATCAGAATCTAAGCCTGAGAGTAAAGATGTCATCATAAACTCTTCCTAATGTTGCTTTTGTTTCGCCAAATCAGTAGTGAAAGGTCTATGCTACAATAACTGATCCCACAAGTTCTTAAGACCACTATAATAATCGAAAAGGGACTGGCCAGACTAGTGATTAGCAAAAATTTGCTCATATATAACTCGTAAACCCGAGAGACATTACTTTGATTCGAAAAGGACTCAGCAAAAGAGTTCCAAATTTACTTAGCCGTGTCACAAAATTCTACAATAGTAGCAACATGAGTGTCTAAGCTACACCATATCCACCACATAACACACGCATCCTCACTACATCAATCGTCATAAGTAGGATGATTAGTAGCAGGAGATAGTTTAGTAAGAAAACGTAACTTCTTGCCACGTAAATTTTTTTTAATTGCATGAGCCTAAGCCATATAGTTTAAACCATTCAATTTCTTGTTAGTAATAAATTTAGGCATCTCATCATCCTTAATCATAGCCACAGGTGGTTTTACCTCAGCCTTAGTCTCAACCATGATACTCACAAGCCAAAGAAACACAGAACCAGCACAAGACCAGCAAAAATACCAGCACCTAGCACCCATAGCAACAACAAAGGCAAGAAAACAACTCAAACAAGAGCCCATAAAAAAAAAAAAGACATGGAAGGGATAACAGGGCTGCTAAACCAAACTGAGCCACAAATCATACCAAAAAACCAACCCAACACCAACAAATCACAAAGAAGACCCCTTTTTAGGGTAATTTCAGCACCTATAGGGTGGATTCCAACAAGTAGAAACAGCAAAAACCGCCCAATCGCAGATGCAAGTATTGATAGCGAGAAATTTGAAAAACATTCAAAAATAGAAAACTTACACCAGGATTGATCAAAAAGTTTCACAAAAAATACCATCATACTCAAGAGAGAATTTCGAGCCTAAGGTGAAATTTCCATCCGTACAATTGCTGATGTCACGTTGATGTCATCGTACGGATGATGATGTCAGCACGTCTTTGTCACCTCAGGGCAATCTCCAAAATCTGTTGAACACTTTCTGATGTAGAATGGAGTGCTCTGGTATCAAGTTAGAATGTAAAATGAAGAAATTTAGGGTTAAGGTTAGAGAGGAAGATAAAGAGGAGAGAGATATTGTGAATACGTGGTTTAGAGTTCTTGAATTACTTTACACCAACAAAATATATTTATATAAAACCTGACATTACAAAATAACCATAGTACCCTCAACTTTACTAAATAATGACATAAGAACATATAGGCCTTGTTTGGTTTGCTTTTGAGAAATAAATTTTGAAGAAAATTTTCTAAAATTTTGTTCGGTTTAGTGATTTTGAAAAAAAAATTTCAAATCACTTTTTATCTTCTAAATATCAATCAATAATTTTTTCTCTCTCCTCCTCAATCATTTTTTCTCTCACACACATTTACTCAATTATAACAAAATATCAAATCATCCCAAACTCCCATTCTCCAAAACTATTTTCAAAATATACAACCAAACAAACCAAAAAACTTTCTAAACTCTCTCAAATTTTTTTTTGAAAATTTACCTCCCAAAATCAAAGCAAACACACCCATAACTATTCTAACAGACGCCTTGGTGTGGTGAGAAGTAGGCAAGGTTCCCATACTTCAATAGACAACGGTATATAAAGAAGCTAGTCTTAGCCCAAGATAGTTGGATATGCTTAGGAACTTAGAACATAATAATATTAACAACTAGAGGGATAGAACTCGTAGATATAATGGTTAGAAGGAGAATTAATAATATTTGTTTTCAAGAAATTAAATGTTATGAGAAAATAGAGGTAATTTGAAAGGACTTGACATAAATTTTGGTATACTGAAAAAGAGAAGCATAGGATCATAAAAGCTCATTTATTTAGTAATAACAATTTTGTAGTGAAAACACACAGAGATGTGTATGCACACACACACGCTCACACACACACACACACACACACACACACAATATGATAATATCATAGTATTTAAAACCATAATCACATCACAAAGGGCAAGTAGTAGAGGAGATGTGAATTGTGTCGTTCTTTTAGATTATTGCTGTATAAATCACTTCCCTCGAATGTTTACTCTATGATGAATTTCACACTTTTTCTGTAGGTTTGGGGCTGATGTTATGGAGACTGTGGCTTCTTGGACCAAAAGATTGTGCACTGACATTTCTCAAGGCCACTTGCTAAATCATGCTGATGATGAAAAATCAGAGCCTGTTGAACAGAGTGATAAAGATTTGACCAGTTGGAGTGTACTTGACATTGGAACTGGCAATGGTCTGCTACTTCAAGAACTTGCTAAGCAGGGGTAAAGTATAAAATTTTTCTTTCTTTTTTTTTGTCTTCTGTTCGAATTCCAGTTAGAAATCAGTTAGTTTGTAGTAATTGCAAATGTAGGTTGGTGTTCATCATTTATTCTGTTTAAAGTTGATATGGGATGTGTGCTCTAATGGTCTGACATTCAACCATCATCTGGGAACAAAACCAAAGATTTGGAACGTCCTGGACAGATAATAACAGGATTCAGCTGGCTATGGTCTTAAATTTATGGTGGCGTAACTATAAACTATTTTGTTTGGACTCGTGGAATTCTTGGGTTCATGATTTGGCCTAGAACCTTTTGATTAACTTATTGGCACCATTATTGGGTCACTTCCATGGGCACCCAGAAAACTTCAGCGGACAACAAACATCCTAGCTCTATATGTATGCATTGAGACAAAGTAACCACTCTAATTGGATAATTAATTCCTTTTATTTAGTTTATGATTTTTCAATTTCTTGTTCTTAACAGTTAGTGTTTGTTACTACTGAATATTGTAGAGAACCAATTTATGATGTTTTTGGTTTCAGGTTTTCTGATCTCACTGGAACTGATTATAGTGAAGGAGCAATTGACCTTGCTCGAAGCCTTGCTGATCGTGACAGAGTCACCAACATTAAATTTTTGGTATGACAGAACTTTGAAACCACATTGAAATGATGATTTTTTATTTTTTATTATCTTGTTCTTGTGCAGTATTTCTGTCCCTTCAATTTATATTATTGGTTATGGACTGGAGTGTCACTTGACCTTAAATTTGAGGAGCCAACAAGGCACCACACCTGTCTATATTCCGAGTTACTCTGATCCCACTTCTCAAACTGGTTATGGAATTTGCACTAGTTTTATAACTAGAAATGGAACACTCATATGCTCTTTCCTTTGTTTTAATTCCAGTTCCTTTTGACTTGTTACTTGCATATAAAGGTCGATGTTCTCGTCTCTTCAATATCCTTTCATTCTTAGCTATCTTTGTTCAATTTGTGTTGCATCAAAATGTAAAGGATGGTTTGTTGATCTTTTGTGCTACTTTAATTGCCCCATCTCTGTAGGTGGTTTGGGTTTGTTGAAAGATTGTGTAGGAAAGAGTTGGACTTGTAATTTGTTTGCCTTGTTACATAATAGGAAAGATTTTGATTTGATGAGGTTTACCACGATGCAAAGCCAACATGCTTGTTTATGTTTGCTTTACTATTATATGTGGGAGGCAAACTGGAGAGAAGGGTTGACGTCACCATACTGTAAAGGGAGGTAAAATGTTTTTCAATGTAGATGGTTTGAAGGCATTTGTTGAGACCTTAGATGCTAATGATCAAAAGCTTATGGAAACTTGGCTGGTTGTGGTTATACAATCTTAAGAGCTATGGATGGAATTTCTGTACCTTGAATTCTCGGTGCTTCAGCCAAGTTCTACAAGTGGAACAAAAGATTTGAAAAACATAAAAATTTCCACCCCTCTTACTCCAGCTTCCTGATTAAAGGAGAATATTTTGCTGCCTGGGGAAGCAACCGCCAAAGACTCAATAAGTGGAGACTTGGGGATATACTCAACTTGATTTGATGTTGATGATGTTGCTTATGCTTCATCCAAATAGCAAGATTATTTCCTTCTCGTAACTAATAATTATATTTTGTCATAGATTACAGTTGGCACAACTGTGTTTATTGAATTGTTCACTTACTAAGATAATTTTTTCTTATTATAATATTTGTTTCTTTGTCAACAGAATCTTCCTGATATACCTTGTCAGTTATTAAATGCCTTGTCTAATTGCTTTGTAAGTTAATTTTTCTTACCTCTGATTTGGTTCCAGGTTGATGATGTCCTGGAGACAAAACTAGAAAGGAAGTACCAACTTGTCATGGATAAGGGGACTCTAGATGCCATTGGACTGCATCCTGATGGCCCTATCAAAAGGTGAAGTAGCATACCGACTTGTTTTTTCACATTCATTCAAATTTGAGATCGGGAAAGCCTACTTTTAATCACTGGATCACACAAATAATTTACAAAACCAAGTTTTTTTGTTTTGTTTTGTTTTTTTTTTTTTTAACCACAATGTTCTGTTTTCTCAATATTTGGATAGGATTTTATTATTTTTATCTTTTCGAATTCTTTTGATGGACCTGAAGATGTAATGTACAGGCATTGGTCTAAATGAATCTTATTCTTGTCATTCAGGATCATGTATTGGGATTCAGTCTCAAGGCTGGTGGTGCCTGGTGGAATATTGGTAAGCATCTCCATTGCTTCTTTATCTACTTTGTTTGAATTGAGCCTCTCCTCTTTTAGTTTATATAATTTTTTTCATCAACTTGTATATCACATTGTTTTCCTTATCCTACGTAACAAATTGAGAAGGGATGATCATTCTTTGTACTAGTAATTTTCCGTGTTTTATGTTGAAACCATTTTTGATTCTTCATGTCCTTAATTACGAGTTGAGTGGTGCCTTCCTTCAGAGATGTGTTCAACTTAAATCCCAAAGCACAAGTTACTCTTGGACAAATTTCCCTTTTTCTTCTCAAGATTTCCAATAGATTTGTTTATCTTTTACTCTTGTTGATCATATGGCAGGTGCTTACATCATGTAATAGTACAAAAGATGAATTGGTGCAAGAAGCTGAAAATTTCAATCAAAGAAGAGTTGGTGCTTCCCAAGAAACTGGAACCCTGGGGGACCAAGAGGCAGGTAGACATCCACCTCCATTCCGCTACCTTGATCATGTTCGTTCATATCCAACATTCATGTTTGGAGGATCTGCAGGATCACGTGTCACCACTGTAGCATTTCTGAGGAACTGAAGGCAGTAAATTGTGGTTAGGTCATTTCAGGCAACTGGTTTTTTTTTTTTTTAGTGTTTTTACATGCGTGTGCATGCATGTGTGGTCAAGGAACTGGGAATTACTGATCTTCAATGGTTACGGATTTATGTAGAAGGGGTTCAAATGCCATTTGCAGGAGATGCTTACCAGGGTATAGTTTGCTTGGAACTGATCTGACTCTGTAAATCAGACCTATGTTTGGGAATTGTGAAGTAATGCTGTTGAATGTAGTGCTAAACCTTGATCTCTATTGCTCCTTGAGTTTCATTCATTTCTGTTTCAGAGGATTGTTTATCGCGTTTGAATGCGTTCTTCCAAGATCTTCATTAATCTGGGTTTTCGACTAACAGATGTTCATTTGTGTTTATGCTTCCTTTGAGCGTGTTTTGTTTTTATTGGTTTTTAGGGGATAGACTTATATTTGATACAAGTGTAAGTTAATGTGCGCTGCGCTCTAGGCTATAAAAGCCCCACTTGAACCATTTTTTTGCAATTTTTTTCTCTTTTTCTCATTGATTTGCAATTTTGAAAAATAAATAAATATTACTTTATGTTAAAGGTCTCTGAATTTGCGAATTGGTCATTCTAGGTTTCATTTCAATCAGTGAAAAATGGCGAATGAGGTTGGCAATGTGGAGATGAGCGGTGAGTAGGGTTGCAAACGAACTGAGCCGAGCCGAGCTTTGTTAAGTTTGAGCTCGGCTCATTTATTTAGGGGTGGTTTGAGATGATCTAAATAAGTGTGTTTTTTGACTTTTTATAAAATATGAGTTGGGTATAAGTTGGGTTTGAAGTGATGTGTTAGATATGTGATGTGATTTAAATAAGATGATGTGATAAATAGAATAGTGACTTTTTGACTTTTTAGTTTTTTTAGATCATGCCAAACAAGACCTTATTGAGCTCGTTTATTGAGCTTGAGTTCTGCTCGATAAGAAATTGAGTTCGAGCTCGGCTCGGCTCATCAACATTAATGAAGCTCGAGCTTAGCTCGGCTCGATAAATATTTTTTTTTTCATATTATTTATATTATTTAATACATAAATAATGAATTTATATTATCATTTATATATATTTATATATTATTTAATATATAAATAATATATTTATTATATAATTTAAATAAAGATAAACGAGTCGAGCTTGATGAGCTAAGCTTATTCGAGCTCAAGCTCAAACTCGGCTCGTTTACTAAACGAGCCGAGCCGAGCCCTTAACGAATCGAGCCGAGCTTGTTCATAAACAGTTCAGTTCATTTACAACTTTAGCGGTAAGTCCTTCAATGCAGAGAGAGTGAGACTTTCTTCTTCGTAACAATGGTGACTAGAGATCATGACCTGTGACAATTTTCATTTTAACCATCATACATTCATTAATTGGTATTGGTTAGTCCATTGTCGCAAATTGAAAGCGTTTGAAGTTTTGAAATTCTTTTGCACTTATTTTACTTATGGAATCGCACTGTTTTGATTATTGTTCTTAGTTTGGAACTTGAAAGTTGTGCTTGGTTGGAAGATTTGATGAGAGAAAAAAGAAAGTGAAAAAGAAATTTTAATCTCACTTTTTGTTTGGTTATAATGGAAAACACAAGAGAAAATAAAGTGAGAAGTAAATGCAATCTCATTTTTTATTTTTATTTTTGTTTTTTTGGTTCACTTAGGTCTTTTCTTTCTCCATTTTCCAACTCAACCAATCATAGTTTGGAATTCAAATTCTCTTATCAATTTTTTTTGAGTGAATTACACTAACGGTCCCCGTAGTTTGGGGCTTATGTCACTTTGATCTCTGACTTTTCTATTGGGACACATTTGACCATGAATTTTGAATCTTGTTCCAAATAAGGACAATTGAAGATACCATTACTTAATTTCAATGGCAAAATCGTCAATTTGATAAAATATAAACTAATTTGACAAAAATAAATGTCAAAAAAATATTTTTGAATTTTTAAAAATTATTTATACCCACTAAAGATAAAATTATGTAAAACTGATAAATCTTTTAGACATTTTTTTTTTTACCAAATTATTTTTTGTTATGTATTTGGATGATGATCATGTAATGGATAGTTATTTTTATTTTCATTAAATTAGTTTCTATTTTTTCAAAAGTCAAATATAGCGACAACTTTGATATCATTATTAAACCAATCCATTAAATCAAAAAATCCAAAACTAAAAATATTTCATATATTAAATATATCGATTACACTTTAAAATCCTAATAACCACACATTACATAATCATCATTCAAACACATAATAAAAATTAATTTGGTAAAATAAATAAATGTGTAAAAAGTTTATCAATTTTATATAATTTTATCTTTGGTGAGTAGAAATAATTTTTAAAAATTTTAAAACTTTTTTTTTTGAAATTTATTTTTGTCAAATTAGTTTATATTTTATCAAATTGATAATTTTGCCATTGAAATTAAGTAATGGTATCTTCCATTGTCCTTATTTGGAACAAAATTCAAAATTCAGGATCAAATGTGTCACAATTGAAAAGTCATGGACCAAAGTGACACAAACTTCAAACTATAGGGACTATTAGTATAATTCGCCCGTTTTTTTTCTCATTTTCTTTCTATTTCTATTTCCCTTTCATTTTCCTCATCAAGTCCTCAAACCAAACACTACTTGCTTAATTCATTCCTACATTTTCTTTCAAGTTTTCTAAATTCCGCATCTTGAATTGAAAAGGGTTAAGAAGCTTCCTATGAAAAACAGATTTAAAAAAAAAAAAAAACAGGGGCGGAATTGAAGATAGATACGGGTATGTGCGTGCTTGGCAAGAAAGTATCATGACATGAGAGAAACTCGAGAAATTAGACTACTGTTTAGTTGTGTTTTTAAATTATAATTCTACCTACACATTCTAATATCATGTTTGGATAGGAATTTCAAATCATATTTCCACACTAAACAAAAAACTCTGCAGAAAATACTCTGTGTTAGGCAAGATTTTTTTTTTTGAAATTTGACTTAATCGATCGTCCCATCGGATGTCCGGCCGGTCATCCCACCGGTTGACCTGCCGAACGTCTTGAACAATGTGAATTTTTATTATTATTATTATTTTTTTCAATTGGCACTATTGTTTTTTTATTTATATTTTTAATAAAACAATATTTTTGTAATTTTTTTTTTAAAAATTATAAGCTTCTCATAGATTTTTAAATTGTGTGTTTGGTTATGAGTTGTAAGTTTTTGTATCACATATCATATGTCACATCAAAAATTTTCCACTCAATTCAAAACTCTTTTCAAAACTCATTCACTAAACAAATTTTTTATACTCAAATCATAATTTCTAAACTCATAAACTTAAAATACAACTCATATTCTCAAATCATAGAAAACTCTACCAAACGCAACCTAGAAGTTTCAAATTTATTTTGCATTGGATCTCAAAGATGTGGCGCGCACAAAATAAGCTACGTTCCAATACACTCGTAGCCATTGGGTAATGAAAGAATCTCGAGGTGTGCTTTTGGGATGGAGGATTGCCTTGGAAGTTATTTAATTCTTTTGTATTGGTTTTACATATGGAATCTGATTGTTTTGATTGATATCTTCAAGAATTTACCCTTGTCTCCGGTTGTTCTTTGTTTGGGACATGAACTCTACTTGCTCAATCCATTCCATCATTTTCTTCAAAGTTTTCTAATTTCTACACAACTTGAACTAAAAAGGGCAAAGAAGCTTCTTCCTATGAAAAAAATAGTCATTGAAGATATATGGGAGTTTGCTTGGCAAGAAAGTATCTCAGAATGCTTGTTATCTTCTACAAGTTGTTCTTATATTCTTAGCTTCTCTTTTTCTTAGATTTGGATTAAGTGAATAAATTGAGAATAACCCAACAGTTAAAAAAAACCTCTGAGAGAATAGAAAAGGCAAAGTGATTCTTCTTCCTAGAATCCTAGTCTATATAAGTTCAATAAGGTGTTCAACGCACGAATAATTCTTGACAGAACCAGAATAACATCTTGTCCACCCAAAATCGAAAACTAATAATGGAAGAGAACAAAGCTACAGAGGCCAATGGCGATTGTTTTGATTTCATCTCGCGCCTCAGTGGCACAGGGCGGGACTTCCTTGTTCGAAATACTGGTGAAAAAGTAACTATCATTTCTCCTCCTCTTCTTTTTTTTTTTTAAATTTTTTTTTTTCCCTCTAGAATTTCAGTTATGATTGATAAAGGCTTGCCTCAATCTTTAAATTTGGAATATATTGTGTCAATATTTTTCTTTCTTTTTTTTTTAATTTATTACTCCTATCTGTCAAAAAGGTGAACCGATAGTGCATGCCCATGATCAGGGAAGGTGGGAGCATAGGCCCAGGAGGGGCAGCTCACCTCTCTCAACTTTGTAAAATTTTCTGTTTATCTCCTTTTACAAAATATTTTTTTAATTTGTCCCCTCTAAAATTTAAGAATAATGCTATATACTTCTATTCTTTCTCTTTTTTTTTTTCAAAAAGCCCCTACACTTTCCTCCCGTTAAATGATTTGCACTTTTGTGTGAGTTTTTTCTCCAACAAAGTCATGCTGTCCATTGAATTCCTTTTGGAAGTTAAATCATACCACAACCTTGTGTTCATACCATTAAAAATAACTTCTTTTTTTTCTGTTTTTTTAAAAATCCATATCAGTAAAACTAGAAAGAAAAGAACAATGTTCACCACTTAATTTCGTACTGACTTATTGGGATGAAATTAGTGTTGGAAGAAATCGTCTTGAATTCTTCAGTTTGTAGTCTTCGAGTCTTCAAAATTTGGCGATGATTGTGTCTATGTAGAACAGAAAATTAATGCTTCAAGTCGCATTACTTAGTTACTTTCCTAAAGACAATATTTACACCCACCAAAAAATGTGTAGGGAGTTACAACAAATTTGCCTCCAGGATACAGTGAAGCCTGATCTAAGATCAAGTCTTCCGGCGTTTGCACTGTTGACAGTAGATCAGAATACCCTTGATATAATCAAGAAAACCAAGACACTGATAATCAAATCTGCAGAACTTGATTATCAGTAAGAAAAGCAGAAATTTGCTTAATAAACTCTTGATTGAAAACTCAAAATCAAGGAGGAAAGAGAGAGAGAATTGTAGGAATGGTTCTGAAAGTTTTGGATGGAATAAAATGACTGATTTCGCAGCCCATTTATAGGCCTTGATGCACCTGATCGAATGGTCATGTCCCTTGATCGCATCTGATTAGATCTGATCGTTGGATCGGCAATCTACGGTGCAGATCATTCTCACACCGAATAGATGCCTTGACTAATCACACCTAATCACAATCGGGTGCCATCTCATCCGTACGATCACGCTCATCTCTAATCAACGGCTATGATCAATCCGCTCCAGATAGGACACATGCTTCCGTGGTAAGTGCAAAGTGTGCTATCAAACGCCACACAGCCTACTGCCCACGCCACGCGCGCCCGCGTGTGCGTGTGCAGATGGTGCGAAACACCATCCTTGCGGTGTGGGTGCATTCACACTAGCTTTCACCTTACAATTCTATATTCAAAGGAATATTCCATGTAGCATTTTATTAAGTGCTCCATGTTTCCTATCTTTCCGATGTGGGACAAAGCCCCAAGCTTATTTCATGCTTTCCAAAGAAAAACATGGAAGGTTTTGAAAATACCCAAAAATAAACTATAAATTTGAAAACCCATTTTGAAAATGCCCCAACATTCCCCCACAATTTTCAAAATATCAGATGATGATTCTTGGTTCACTTGGCAGCCTTATGCATAGGTGAAGATATCTTACGATTTGAATCATTTACTTAGTGAAAACATCTCAAAGTTAGTCAAGATGGCATAGTAGACTTGTCTTTGAACTAGCGATCTTATACAACCAACCGGACACGTCTCATGCACAGTACATGTTACCTTAAGTATTCAAACAAACTGACACGTGGATTGGCCTTGTGCCTATATCCTGTTTCATGAGCGCTCTAGAGTCAAGCCCTTGGACTCATAGGAAGTGACACCACCTCCAACACTCACATAGGTAAGCTTACTGAGAGTACCCATGTAATTTACAGTACCTTAACAACCCAGTTGTAAGCTTATTAAGAGTTTACTAACTTATCATTTTCTTTTCACATTATAGGTACCAAGCACTTCAACCTTGGGATGAAAATAAAATAAAACTACGTGCTTGTAATCACGACATATGGTGTACTTGGGCTCATTGAACTCAAGACTCGATGTTTCTTCAAGCGTTGAGTCGAGTTTCCACCAGGAGTGATTATGTTAAGTGGGCTTAAGACCCATCCCCTTTAATGTTTTCCACACTAAATCCATTGCAAGTCCCTTTGTTAAGGGTCAGCCAAGTTTTCACTTAACTTTACCTAATTAATGGTAATCACACCTTCTGTGATTAATTGCCTAACATAGCTATGTCTTAGTCCTATATGCATAGACTTTCCATTATAGACATGGCTATAGGCTCGTGATAGAATTGCTTCACTATCACAATGCAAAGATATTGATGGCATAGATTTTGGCCATATCTTAATCTCTAACAAGAGATTCCTTAGCCACTCTGCCTCTTTGCTACAAGAAGCCAATGCTACAAACTCTGACGTCATGGTTGAGTCTATTATGCATGTTTGCTTCTTAGAAGGAGATAGCTCATTCTCCAAGAGTAAAAATCCAACCACTTGTGGTCACGGTCAGTTATCTAACTAGCATCTGTGAATCCTTCCAACACTGCTGGATAGCCATTATAGACTATTCCATAGTATATTGTTTTTCTCAAGTACCTAAGTAATCGATTAACAGCATGCCAATGCACACTACTGGGATTACTAGTGTATCTACTAAGTTTTCCCACTGCAAAAACAATATTAGGTCTAGTGCAAGTCATGGCATACATCAGGCTACCTATTACTCTTGAGCATTCTAGCTGATCAACAGCTCTTCCAGTATTAGGATACAATTTCAAATTTGAATCAAAAGGTGTAGACATGGGTGTACAATTATATTGATTAAATTTTTTAAGAATTTTCTCAATATAGTGCGACTAGGTTAGAATCAAATTATTGTCCTCTCGTTTGATCTTAATACCCAGAATTACATCAGTTAAGCCCATGTCTTTCATACTAAAATCAGACGACAAGAAACTTTTAGTACTTTCAATGACATCATTGTCAGTACAAAAAATAAGCATTTCATCTACATATAGGTATATGATTACACCTCTATTTCCAATAAACTTACTGTACACGCACTTATCAAATTCATGTATCCTAAAACCATTTGACACTATTACTTTGTCAAATTTCTCATGACATTGTTTTGGAGCTTGTTTCAGTCCATATAGTGACTTCACGAGTTTACACACTTTGCGCTCTTGACCCTGTACAACAAATCCTTCAGGTTGTTACATGTAGATGTCCTCATCCAACTCTCCATTTAGGAAAGCGATCTTAACATTCATTTGATGGGTTTCAAGCTTATAGATTGAGGCTAATGCAATCAACACTCGAATGGTGGCGATTCTAGCCACCGGAGCATATATATCAAAATAATCGATACACTCTTTTTGAGTAAAACCCTTAGCAACTAATCTTGTTTTAAACTTGTCCATTGTGCCATCAACTTTCATTTTCCTTTTGAAAATCCATTTACAACCAATTGGTTTGGATCTAGATGGCAAATCAGCAAGTATCCAGGTATTGTTATCCATGATAGAATCCATCTCATTGTTTATTGCTTCTTTCCAGAAAGCAACATCTTGAGACTTCATAGCCTCCTCAAAGGTTAATGGATCTGAATCCATATTCAAAGAAATCATTGTTTGCTTATAATAAGCTTTCCTAGTTCCTTCTACAAGGTAAATAACAAAATCAGGGCCAAATGACTTCTCAGTCCTAGCCCTCTTACTCCTCTTTAACTCAACAGGCTCATTAAGCTCAATGGGTTCATGTCATTCACTTTCCTCTGTAGACATCAAAGGAGTTGATTCATTTCCTTGATTAGAATCTAACCTTGGAATGGTTGTGAAACAATTCTCATAAAATATAGCATCACGTGATTCAATAATGGTATTTATTTCCATTGAACCATTGGGCTCTACTAGTAGAAACCTATATGCTTTGCTATGTATAGCATAGCCAAGGAATATGCATTCAATTCCTTTTTCACCTAATTTCTTCCTTTTAGGTTTAGGCAATGCTACTATTTCTCTACAGCCCTATGTTTTCAAGTAACCAAGATTAGGTTTCTTGTTTTTCCAAAGTTCATAAGGAGTAACATTTCTTCCCTTGAGAGGAATTCTATTAAGTATGTGACAGGCAATGAGCAAGACTTCACCCCAAAAACCAAAACTTAAACTAGAGTATGAAAGCATAGCATTAATCATTTCTGTTAATGTTCTATTCTTTCTTTCAGCTACTCCATTTTGTTGTGGTGTGTAGGGTGCAGACTTCTCATGAATAATACCAACATTTTCACAATATTTTGAAAAATGGTATTCACCGCCTCTATCAGACCTAAGTCTCTTTATTTTGACATTACACTGATTTTCTACTTTTGTCTTAAAAATTTTGAAATTATCAAGCACCTCATCATTTGAATGCAAAAGATAAATATAACAGTACTTAGAAAAATCATCAATGAATGTTACAAATTACTTCTTACCACCTCTAGTGGGGGTACTATGCATGTCACATACATCACTATGCACAAGTTCAAGCAGAGATGTGGTTTAGTCTACTTTAGGAAATGGAATGCAAGTAATTTTTTATTGCACACAAAATTTATATTTTTCAAACATATCAATGTCATACTTAGGAATTAAATCAAAAATAGATGTATTATTGATAATGTTAAGTTTGAACATTCCTTGATACATGTAACCCTTCCTAACAAAAATTCCACCCTTAGACAGGATAAATTTGTCCGACTCAAATACTAACTTGAAACCATGCTTATTAAGCAGGTTTCCAGATACAAGGTTTTTTCTGACATTAGGTACATGATAAACATCATTAAGACTTAAGACTTAAGACTTTTCCAGATGTGAACGCTAGATCCACTGTCCCTTTGCCTTTGATAGTAGCAGTTGTAGAGTTGCCCATGTAGAGAACTGTTTCATCACTCACTTGTTCATAAGTAGTGAAACGGCTCTTGTCGTTGCAGACATACCTTGTTGCACCTGAGTCAATCCACCAATCACCAGCATCTTCGAGCATGTTCACCTCGGATACAACAACCACGAACTTGTTCTTGGCTTTTGATGCTTCTGGCTTCTTCTTGTATGACTAGCATTCATTCCTGAAGTGCCCTGGCTTGTCACAGTGATAGCAAGCGCCTTTCAGCTTCTTAGCATTTTTCTCGGGTTGGGGTTCACGCTTACGCTTCTTTTTGTTGAACCTCTTGCCATCATCCACCATGTGAATCTTAGAAGTCTGAACCAATAGGTTATCTTTACTTTCAAGAAGTCTTGACTCTTCCTTAACTTGGAGGTGTTGAGCCAATTCCTCTAAAGTTAGATCTTCTTTTTTGTGTTTCAGAGTTTTCTTAAATCCTTCCAAGAAGATGGTAGTTTCTTTATTATAGATGAAACTACAATAGATTCATCTATATTCATATTCTTTTGTCGAAACTGACTCAGAATATGTTAGATCTCATGGAATTGCTCCATAATGGGCTTTGTATCAATCATTGTAAAATGCATAAAATTACTAACAAGAAATTTCTTACTGGTGGCATCCTCGATGAAGTACTTTGACTATAGTATGTCCCAGAGTTGCTTTGTCGTTTCCAGATGTTGATACACATCGAACAGAGAGTCTGACAGCGCATTCAGAATATGTCCTCGACAAATGTAGTCGTCATTCTCCTATTTGGTTCTGATACGGGTTTGCTCCATAGTCTCATCTTCTTGCTCCACTGGATAGGGGGTAGTCAGTACATAGACCACTTTGAGAGTGGTGAGCAAACAGTGCATTTTCTTTTGCCAGCGACGGAAATTGCCGCTATCAAACCGGTTAAGCTTCGTGAAATCTTGGGTCATTTTCTAAATAGACATCGCCATATCTAATTATTGTCTTTAGATTGTTGGAAGAAATCGTCTTGAATTCTTCAGTTGGTGGTCTTCAAGTCTTCAAGATTTGGCGATGATTGTGTCTATGTAAAACAGAAAATTAATGCTTCAAGTCACGTTACTTAGTCGCTTTCCTAAAGACAAATTTGCACCTACCAAAAGGTGTGCAGGGGGTTACAGCAAATTTGCCTCCAAGATACAGTGAAGCCTGATCAAGTCTACCCGCGTCTGCACTGACGACAGTAGATCAGAATACTTTTGATATAATCAAAAAAACCAAGACACTGATAATCAAATTTGCAGAACTTGATTACCAGTAAGAAAAGCATAAATTTGCTTAAGAACTCTTGATTGAAAACTCAAAATTCAAGGAGGAAAGAGAGAGAGAATTGCAGGAATGGTTTTGAAAGTTTTGGATGGAATAAAATGGCTGATTTCATAGCCTATTTATAGGCCTTGATGCACCTGATCGAATGGTCATGTCCCTTGATCGCATCCGATCAGATTTGATTGTTGGATCGACGATCTACGGTGGAGATCATTCTCACACCGAATAGATGCCTTGACTAATCACACCTGATCATGACCAGATCGGACACACAACTGGTTGATTGGTTGGTTCAGTTGGTTGACTCATAGCCAACCAACTTGTCTGATGCAAATAGGAAAGTGCCCTCATGGCGCCGATGCATCCGTGCAAAGTGCGCCATCTTGGTTCAGTTGGTTGACTCATCGCCAACGGACGCCACGTCACTGCCATGTGGAACTGACTATATTCCACGTCATCGCTCCAACCTATCTGATGCAAATTGGAATGCGCCCTCATGGCGCCGATGCGTCCGTGCAAAGTGCGCCATCAAACGTCACATAACCCACTGCCCACGCCACGCGTGCGTGTGCGGATGGTGCTTCACCATCTTTGCGGTGTGGATGCATACACACTAACTTTCACCTCACAATTCCATATTCAAAGGAATATTCTATGTAGCACTTTATTAAGTGCTTCATGTTTCCTCTCCTTCCGATGTGGGATAAAGCCCCAAGCTTATTTTATGCATTCCAAAGAAAAAGATGAAAGGTTTGAAAACACCCAAAAATAAACTATAAATTTAAAAATCCATTTTAAAAATTCCCCAACAATTAGTCACAAATTCATGTTAGCCTATACATGGGTTAACGTAGGACAACGAAACCAGATAAAGAAAGAAAAAAATAGTCTCCCATGGCAGAAAGTTTCGGAGATGTGAAATTTTTTAATGAAAAAGTATTCAATAGTCTGTCATTTCATTTTGAAAGACCACAAATGAAGTTAGTGAACCCAATAAAAATCGACGACTTTCATTAGAGGGTTGTGCTTCAGACCGGGTCAACCCCTGTGACGTGGCGCGTTGGAGTTGGCCAAAAATTAAAAAAAAAAAAAAAAAAACTATTTTTTTGGGTCCAATAGGAGCCGACCCCCAGCACCCCCACCTGGGGGTCTAAGGCATTTTTGTTTCATTAGACCTTTCTTTTTCACTTGTTTCAAACGACGGAGACTGAAAAAACTGCAGGACCAACTTGGGCTTATGGCAATCTTGAGCACAACTCTCTATCTTTCAATTCTTCCCCAAATAACATGAGACCTCCTTGGCAACTTTGTCGTGATGAAATTGCCTAAAACACTTGTCCTAAATGTTATTTGTTTCATCAGACAATTATTGTTAATGTTTTGTCCTTTATTTACTTTCCTTTTTTTCCATTTTTTCTTTTCCTTTAATGTGCTTGAATTCCCGCCATATCCCTTATGAACATGGTTTATAGCTCTGGTTTAATTAAGGTCCAATAATATCAACAATTTTATTTCTGTTTTGTGCAGGTCAAAATCAACACATTGAAGGGGAAGAAGCTTGGGTTATATTTTTCGGGATCATGGTGCCGCCCATGTCAACAATTTACCCCAAACTTAGTAGAGGTGTACAATGAACTATCCTCAATACGTGATTTTGAGATCATTCTTGTCTCAGCTGATATATATATTGAGGCATTCGATAGGTATTTTGCCAAGATGCCGTGGCTGGCGATCCCATTTCCTGATTCAGAGTGTCTAAAAAACTTGCAAGAATTGTTTGCTGTCATTGACAAGGGGATACCCTATCTTGTAATACTTGATGAGAAGGGGAAGGTTTTGACTGACAATGGAGTTGAGATTATACTAGATTTTGGCGCAGAAGGGTATCCTTTTACTCTAGAAAGGATCAAAGAAATGAAAGAAAAGGAAGAAGAAGCTAAGAAGAATCAATCCTTGAAATATCTCTTGGTCACGCCCTCACGCGATTTTGTAATTTCAAATGATGAAAGGAAGGTAAGAGTTCAATGCATGACTGGTTGAACAACCTGTTGTATCTAGTCTAGTCCTATTTAGTATTACTTGTTATAGCTTAAAAAGATTGTACATTCTTTATTACGCACACTTTCATACAAAAATGCAGTCTTTTTAAATTTCTAAACATGTGCCCTAAAAGCACATGTTAACAAAATCCTTTAGTATTAATCATCTCGACAATGCAACTTTTTTTCCAGTCTAACTATTCGTTAACAACGGATATGAAAGGTACCCATTTCTGAACTTGAAGGGAAAATGGTGGGCTTGTATTTCTTTTATCCTTCAAACCGTTGGTGCTCCAAGTTTACTCCAAAACTCATGGAAGTCTATAATAAAGTGAAGGATATAGGGGAAAGGTTTGAAATTGTGATGTTATGTGTCGATGATGATGATGAATTATTCAGGGAAAGCCTCAGGAGTACACCTTGGTTCGCTCTGCCTTTCACTGATAATAGATGGCAGAAGCTGGTACGCTATTTTGAGCTCCAATCGGTACCGTCCTTGGTTATTATCAAACCAGACGGAAATACACTTAGTTCTAATGCTGTGGAAGCCATTGAGGATTATGGGATTCGGGCATATCCTTTTACACCAGAAAAACTTGCAGAGTTGGCAGAGATTGAGAAGGTAGAGGTGCAGAAGGCGGGGTGGCCTCAGAAGGTAAAGCATGCATTACATAATGAGCATGAACTAGTGCTCACTTGGCGTCGGAGTTTTATATGCGCTGAGTGCAAGGAAGAGGGTCGTAAATGGTCATTCCGCTGCGAAGAGTGTGACTTGGATCTCCATCCAAAATGTGCCCTGAAAGAAGACAATAGCACACCGATGGACACGCAACAAGAGAAGGTTTGACATCTCACATGGAATTTTGTTCAAAGTTCAAAATGTTAGTGTTTGTTATTTCGGAATTGTGATTATTTTTGTTCTTCACCTTTTTATAGTTGCTATATATGCCTGACAATATGACCTTTTTATCACAATCTTGAAAGTCATTTCCTCTAACATGACAGCTAATATTGTGTATAGCTAACTTATACAGTGTACAACTGTGATCACTCACCATTTCTTCAAGTGTCCATATTTCAGACATACAACCAAAAAAACGAAAGTGATAGGCAGAAAAGATAAATATTTAGCTATTGATTTGGTGCAAAAGAAAAATTGGAGCATTAGAAGGGAGGGAGATTTGGGAATTGGATCAGAAAATTTTCATTGTGTGGTTGAACTTTGAAATAGGAGAAACTATTTTATCATTAGGAGAGGAAAGATCTGATAATTTGTATATCACAACTTCCAAATCATGCTTCTTATATCGCAATGTCCATATAGGTATCGTAGAAAAAGGGATTACATTATACGTTCCTTAGGCCGTTTCCTTCCTCTGACTGGATCAATCACTGATGGGAACTTTGCTTAAATCATAGTATTCATTCCTAAAATAACACTGTATACACTGGAAGAGAATGGTTCTGACTGACAAAATTGTTGAGATCATACAGGAATTTGAAGAAGAAACAGAAGAGGAAGAAGAAGAACCAGCTACAGAGGAACAGTCCTTGAGATCTATCTTGGTCACACCTTTGCGCGATTTTGTACTTACAAACGATGAAAATAAGGTAAGTTTTGACTGCTTAACTTCAAATATCTAAATGTCATTAGTCCCATGTAGGTAGTGTGAATTTTTACTTTTATTTCTAAAAAGAAACTTTTTTCCGGTCTAACTTTTCCTTAACAACGTATGTGCAAGGTACCTGTTTCCGACCTTGAAGGGAAAATGGTGGGTTTGTATTTCTATCATCCTTCACATGATCCATGCCTTGAGTTTAATCCAAAACTTATGGAAGCTTATAATAAACTGAAGGAGATGGGAGAGCGCTTTGAAATTGTGATGGTATGCCTTGAAGATAAGGATAAAGAATCGTTCAATTTAAGCCTTCGCACCATGCCTTGGTTCGCTTTGCCTTTTAATGACAATAGCTTTTTGAAGCTGGTTCTCCAATTTCATATCAAGTCGTTACCCACTTTGGTTATTATTGGACCGGATGGGAAAACACTTCACTCCAATGTTGCTGAAGCCATTCAAGAATACGGGATTCAGGCATACCCTTTCACACCAGAAAAGTTTGCAGAGTTGGAAGAGATAGAGAAGGCGAAAAATGCAGCACAAACTCTGGAGTCAATTTTGGTTTCAGAAAATCGTGATTTTGTGATTGCGAAAGATGGAACCAAGGTAAATAAAGTCGAGATCAGTATTCTGTTGACTCAATGGTAGCCTTTAATAGGGCTGCAAACGAGCCAAGCCGTTGTTTTATCGAGCTTAAAAAGCAAGCTCGAGATTGGCTTGAAAATTAGTCTAGCTTGAGCTCAGCTCGGCTCGAAAGAAAAAGTTTGGCTCGATAATCAAACTCGGTTGGGTCATTAAATATTATTTTGTATTAAATATACATATACAACACATTTTATATTATTTAATACATAAAATAACATATTTATCCTATTTTATAAATAAATAATAAACAAGTTGAGCCAAGCTAGAGCTAATGAGTCTAAAAATCAGGCTCAGGCCCATTTATTTACATAACGAGCCAAGCTGAGCTGAGCTTGTAAATAGCTTAGTTCATTTGCAACCCAACCTGTTATGTAGTATGATGTTTCATCAGACCATTGTTACCTTAATTGGATCGAAGTGCTTTATTGCTGAAAGTATGATTCATCGATTGAGAAGTTGATATTCTGTTGCACACAATTCATGATGTGCTTTGTTCCTCAGAAAATGCATTTACCTCTCTCTCTGTCTTCATCTCTATGTGATTGGTGACAAATTTAACTCTGTTCCAGGTTCCAGTTTCTGATCTTGTAGGGAAGAACATCTTCCTTTACTTCTCGGCTCATTGGTGCCCCGGATGTCGTAATTTTCTACCAAAGATCATTGAAGCGTACCAGGAGATCAAGGCAAAGGATAATTTATTTGAAGTGATTTTCATCTCTTATGACCGGGACGAGGCATCCTTTCAAGCATTCTTTTCAAGAATGTCATGGTTGGCCATCCCTTTTGGCGATAAGAGGAGAGAGTCTTTGACTCGCAAATTCAAAGTTTCTGGCATCCCCACGGTTGTAGCTATTGGACGGACAGGCAAGACTGTTGCAACAGAAGTTACTGACCTTATAGAGGCTTATGGAGGCCATGCTTATTCCTTAATTTTTCAGGATGAGAATAAGGATGAGGAAGATGTTGAGGAGTCAGTACAAAAGGATGAGAAAGAGCTCGAGAAAAAGGTGAATGAGGATGAGAAGGGGCTTGAGAAGACAGTGAACGAGGAAGGAACTATGATGAACACACTCCTGAGGAAGTTTCTCTCCCTTATACAGACCATAGTTGAATTTTTTCAGAAGTTATGGTTTTTTTCTTGAAATAGTTTTTAATGGCCATGCTATTGTTGGCTTGTAAAAGCACTGTAAAGTAAAAAATATTGTACATTCTTGGACGTCTATATTTATGTTTATAGTGTTTCAAAACACTCTCTGTTCCACATCATTTTCTCAAAGTCTTCATATGATTATGTATAGAAAATGCTCCATAAACTATTTAACACGAAATTGGGCTTTAGACTATTGGTTAGACTTGACTTCATCGGTGTGCCGCTACAATTTTGAGTTTTCTTTATTGAGGAATATATTTTGTCATATTTATATTTGTACATTTATGCTGTTAATTATTTTGGAATTAGACAATGTACATTCATTCAAATTAATAAGATTGGTTAGTGAATAAAGTTTGTTGAGGAAATCTATGTTGTAAAGAATATTTGAGGAATAAAGAAAAAATAATATTAAATCTAATCTGCAAGTTCTTTGCTCGTAATCCAGAGGGGAAAAAAAATACATTGTGCTTCAGGAATAAGATGGATAAAAAGCTTCGACTCTTGAAAGTATAGTTGCAACAGACCGAAGTTGTTTTTCTTTTTTCTTAACAAAAGTTCAAACATTTTCGGCAATTTTAATGAAACAACACAAATGCACTCATCACCTATTCAGCTATTAGCATGCGAATCAGAAGTTCTCACAATATCGAAAGACCAACAACAATATCCTCTCATTCATTTGCAGATGCATCCTCGGATGGAGCATTCCCTCCTGTATGAAAATAATAAATGATGAGCATTTTCCCTATAAGAAAATGATTTCGAGGAAAGTGTGTGTTACAATAGTGGTAGATGTGGCGTTGCTATGAATAAATCCATTCAAGCTACAATTATCATTGTGCATACCTTCACCATCTGATGGGGCATAAGGAGATTTTCGGTATCTAGTTTGCTGTTGTGTTGGCTACACCAAAAACAAAAAGAAAAAGATGTCATTAGCAAGACATACAACAAATCTGTGAATTTCCTCATTCTATGTTTCAAAGATTTTTCAATTTTATTAAAGCAGTTACAACGCCATAACCAAAATTTCACAGCACATTCGTGATGTTTAGAGAATCATTAAGCAACAATCTCAGCAAGAAAGAACTTGATTTACTATGTATCATAGCCATGGATACAAAATTGTAGAAAACATAGGGCACAGTCACAGAAATGACACCACAACATACTAACATTTTTTATATATCTTTCATGCCTATTATATAAGAAAATATGGGATCTGATCCTCCCCATCTCATGGATGGAATAGAGATCTCCATTTTATTTTATAAAGTTGCGACACATCACCAAAATCCAAAATCAGTGGCTTATGACTACCATGACAATATAAGTTCTAAAACTTTCCTTTAACAGTATTAAAATTTAAAATAAAGATCCATTGATGGGGATCTTTTTCAGCCATTGATGATGGAATGGAGATCTCCATTCCAATCATGAATAGGAAGGATCTGGAACTGAAAATATGTATTTAAGTTATTATCTAGATGTTTTCTACTTAAATTTGCAAAATGTGAAAAATGAATCCCCATAACCATCATGCATGGGTTTTTTTTTATTTTATTTTTAGCACTAGAATGTATATTAGGCATACTCCTATTACTATCTTTCTAATTTTATTTTTCCTTATTACAAAGTTCTCTTCTTCCGATGTTGAAGTTGTCCATTGCATACTTTCATGTATTCTTTTTATAAATGTTTAAAGACACATTTGGGTTGTGTGAGTTTTATTCTCAAGAATGCCAAACATTGTTTAGAAATGTCACCATGTTTTTAAAGTGTCTAAAAAGCTCTATTATCAGTCTTATAATTCATGTTTTGATTTACAATTCAAATAAAGATTCAAGCATATATCGATACGAATCTATGGATGAATCTATTAGAATCAATAGTGAATCACATGATTCATGATTCAATTCATATATTACGATTCTTGAAACTATCAGGTCTAATAGATTCCGATTGCTATTTCTCTCTATTTTCTTTTCTTTCTTTCTTTATTTATTTTTTTGTTTGTGAAAATGTCAAAACATACCCTTTAAGAGTGTTTAGTACAAAAATAACCAATACACGATTTGTTGTTATTTTGGTGGTCAAAGGTTTGATAGGATCTAATCAGATACATTCAGGTCCAACAAATTCCTATTTTTCATTTTTTTTCTCTTTTAGCTCAAGCTTGTTCTTCTATCAGGGCTTATTTAGCCTTTTTTACATGCACTTCTTTCCCACTGGTTGCATGATATTTCCTCTACCTTTGCTGATCTGAATTAGTGTTTACTTTCCATTTTTTGCATATACCATTCTCGACTTTTTTTGCATTTAATTGTTTTTTACTCCATCAGTCCAAGCATATTAATGGAATGGTATATATCATGAGTGTTGATTACACAATTACGCTTCAATCATGTTAGGATACCTGAAATGTCATCAAAATGGCACATAATTTGAATAACAAGTTAATCAATAATATTGATTTGTATACACTTTTCACCTAATTTTGTATGTATACACATATTTATGTATCCCTCAAATACAAATAGTGGAAACTCAAAAAGATAACCACTCAGCACTTCAAAATTTGTGTTAGCCTTATGGGAGGTAAAACTCTCCTTGAACTTTCACTTTTTAAACCATGGAGTGTGTTTAAAGTTATATGGGCTCTGTTAACCACTGGACCATTGCCAGTCTTATTGGGAAAGTAAAGTAAGCAACTTTTTAGAATGTGCATTGGCCGAATCGTGGCACCAATAGTGTTCACTTTACCACAGAGAGTGATTGAATAATGATAAAATCCACCAATGCATGTATATATGTGCAAGGCATAGCAATTCTCTTTCTTTTTTTCTTTTTTTTTGATAAATTACAAGGCACAGCAATTCTGGAAAGCAATAAGCAGCACAACCAAGATGTTAACCAAAAAGGAAGGACAATGTTGTATATGTACCTGCAATTTAGGTCGAAGTGGAAGTGGTCCTTTGGGCTTCTCTACACCTTGCTGTTGTCGTCAACAAGTATTGAACACTATTAGGAATTCAAAATGATGCAGGTATTTCTACTATTACAAGCGTCAAGCTCAAGTAAGAGAACAGGGCTACAGACAAATACCTTCCCCAGAGCCCAATCAGCAGAGTCAAAGTAAGCACGTTCATGGTCCTGAAAAAAACAATTGTGAGTCGAAAAAAGCACACACTATCATCGCTTCCAAACGTTTTTGTAGAAAGAACTATCTTTAAAATTGAATTGAGACAGTACCTTAGAAATCAGTGGTGGTTTCTTACGCATAATTCCTCCATACTTATTCTTAACAGCTTCCTCCTGCAGAAAACAACATACAACTAAGTCCTGGGATATTTCTGCAAGGGTATGAAGCGAAGCAGAATAAGTTTTCCAGCGTGTAGAGAAAGCTAGGATAGGAACACAACCTCCTGTTGGGGTGTTGGCATGGCTTTTTCTGAGTCCTCTGTGACATCTCCATCCACACGTTCATGATCTTTGACATCCTCCATGCCTGACATATTGCCCTTGCAGCAACCCAAAGTACAGAGCTGAAATAGCATAAACCATGAATTCCCACAAACATTTCATCCAATAAATAATATGGAATTGCAGAAGAAGAGGTTCAATGATCACCAATTATTTACCACTCGAATTAAAAAAAATTAAGACCTTAAGTACCTTATAAAGGAATTCAAATAGATGACCGCCACCCTAAATCATCACTACTGATTAGTTTGACCGGACAAACTTAGCTACAACACAAAACCAGAAGTGACTCCCTGAGATAAATTGATTGACACATGCTACTTTAGAGGAGGAACAAACAGAGTCTTAACATAAATGTTTACATATACAGGGAGGAAAATTTTTATCCAACACAATAAACAGGAAAACCTTAGGAAATAGGTTTTCCAAAGAACAGTATATTTCCAAGCTATTAGTAAGGCTTCAGTTTTTCCATGTTATCTACAACCATGCCTTTCACTAAGCATGAGATATAAGCACCTCTCAGAAATACCCCTTCAAGCACACTCTGCCAGTGTGCTAGCTTTGCTACAACTTACAACCATTCTCCTTCCTTCAAAGTTTAGATGAAGGTTAAGCACAGTAAACGCGGTTATTATTCCATAGCTTTCCATGGCAAAATCAATCGATTGATGCTCAATATGTACCAGCTATGAAGCACGGATACTTCAAAAAGGGTGACGTATCCGTATCGGATATTTATCGGATACCGATACTCCTCGGATACTCGCGGATACGTATCGGATACTTCTTAAAAGTATCAGATACTTCTTAATTAATTTTTTATTAATGAATCGTTTAAAGTTAATCAAATCGTGAATTGTACAATTCACCATAGATGCTATCTCAAAATAGATTCACCCATAGATTTTCTCCTCTGCTTTCATTGTTACTGTTACTAAATTTACACTCTATGTACTCTGTCTTAGTTCTGCTTATCCGGAATCCTTTAGATTCAAGAACTTTTCTCTAAATCTCCAAATTTGTGTTAACTCCTTCTCTAGTCTCATCCACTAGCACAATATCGTCTCCAAAAAACATATACCATGGCACGTCATCCTGAATATTTCTCGTCAACTCATCCATAACTAAAGCAAAAAGATAAGAACTTAAAGGTAGATTTTTAGTGTAACCCTACAGTGATAGGAAATTCATGTCTCTCCAGCTAGTGATCTAATAGTGGTCACCACTCCTTCATACATGTCCCTAATCACATCAATGTAACATTTTGTCATCCCTTCGTATCCGTGCTTCCTAGGCTATCATTGATGACTTAAAAAAGTATATTTGCTGAAATTTTTATTTAAGAATGGTTTTTTGGCTTTAGCTAAGGTCTTGTGATATTCAATGATGAAGGGGAACAAGTTGAAGCTATTGACCTTGAAGACTCTTAGTTTTATAGGAATCTTTCTTCTTTATCAAGTTGTCTTTTGCTTTAGGTTTTATTTTTATGCATACTGTATTACTAAAAATTGTTAAAATAATATTTTTTACGAACGTATTGCCGCCGTACCCGTATCCTAGTTTTTCAAATTTTGTCGTATCGCTGTATCCGTATCGTATCGTATCCGTATCCGTATCCGGTATCCGTATCCGTGCTTCCTAGTGTACCAGTTTGTGAAATATGAGGTCTCTTGTATTTTCATTGACACTTTTGGATCAAAATTCATATAATCTCCTTTAATTTGATGAACCAGAGACATCAAAATAGATCATGTCAAAATCATATAAAATAAAAAGGGAAAGAAGATCCTCCAAATAAAAAGAGATCCAAATCATGGGAACGTCGAATAAAGAGATTCCTAAATAGTATATGGCCTTTCTCTTAGCAAGATTAGCTAGCTATAGTTTCAGTAAATTAATCATCATTATAGTCAGAGACGGAACTGTGTATAGACCTACAGGGCCCTGGCCCCCCACCTTGCACAAGATGCTCTGCTGGTGTATATAGATTTAGTTCAACACCAACAACTTCTCCTATGGTCCCCCCTCCCATCTAATTCTTATAATTTTAACTATTCTCTTTAATAGCTCTTTATAATACAATAATAATATACTATATAGGAGAATGTTTTATGTACACCCATTATAAGAAATATATGAATTTTTTTAATTTATGAAAGTTTAAAATATTTGTAGTCTTATGTGTAGTAAAAGTTACTAGTAGTCAATTTATGGTATGCATCTATAAAGTGAAAGTGAAAGTTATGAATCATTGTAGTGTAAATCTTACGAATAATTTGTGATACAAAATGTTACGAACTATTTTGGTGAAAGAAATTGCTATTTGTTATGGTTATGCTACATATATTGTGATAATGTGTATACGATATGCACCTTTTAAAGAGTGCACACCATAATAACTCCCTAACATATTATGTTCTAAAATATATTTTCAATTATATTATTCACTTTGTAAATGAAATTGAGTTAACAATTTTTGTCTCTCATTAGCCCAATCATTATTTCTCAGTACTGTAATGTAAAAACTCTCATTGATTAGTGATGTTGTCACGTAATATTAACCGTACATTAGATATTTAACAAAAATAAGAGTTTATCCATTTTCAATTAATAGAATAAAAAATCACAATTGTTAATTGCATGAAAATCCATTGCTCTAAATCTAACCCCACTTATGTTCCTATGTTTTTTTTGGGGCCCCCAATGATCGAATCCTGGATCCGTCATAGTACTAATTACTCAACTTCACCACTCCAATTAACGAACTGAGAACATAGCTAAACTGCAAAATTATAACAAGCATAACAAAAAAATCATAGGATCTACAATACAACAAAATTCGTCAATTGAATCATTCAAAACCAACCGAAGATCTGTTCCACCATTCTCATTTATCACTCCATCCGGTTTTAATTTTCTAGGTTTTTAATCACGGAAATAAGATTGTAAAAGATCTAGAATGATGAAACACATATGCATACATACACAAATATATATATACATATATATATATAGAGAGAGAGAGAGAGAGAGGGAGAGAAATGTGTATGAAGATAAGATAAGATTGATAGATTTATTACCGAGATCAAACGAGCTCTCGAGTTCACCTGCTTCTTCTACCTTCGATCGAAACGAATGTGAGAGAGAGAAAGAGAGCGAGAGAGAGAAGGGACTGTCGGCAGTTGCGTCCGGAGACGATAGATTGACGAAAAATTTAAAAAAAAAGGGTTATTATACTATGCTTTACGATTTATTTTGCAACCCTGGAAATTCACTGCTGTCATTTCAATTCATTATTGTACGGTTCTGAAAAAAAGTGTTTTGACTTTTTTATTCGTTGGAGTTTCCAGGATAAATTACACGGAGGTTTAAAAAATTATTTTTAAATTATTACTAATAAGTATTTTTAAAACAATTAAAAATATTCACCATTTTATAATTAATTTTTAAAATTTTTCTGTCAGGTCATTTTTCCTTGAAAAATGATTTTTTCCCACAAATTTGTCTTCCCGAACAACCCGAAATTTAGAAGAGAAAGAGAAAGAGAGAGAGAAAGAGAAAAGAGGGCAAGAGAAGAGGAGATGGCAGCTCGTCGGCCTGCCGTCACCTCCACTCGATTGTCGCACCCGCTTCCACCTCTGCCTCCGCACGTCGTCGCCTCAGCTCTCACCTCGCAGCCCCCGCCTCTGCCACTGCCTCCGCTCCGCCTCTTCTCCTTCTTTTTTTCTTCTCTTCTTCTTTCTTTCTTCTTTTCTGATTGAAAAAAAAAAAATCAAAACGACATCGTTTTGAATTCGGGAAGATTCGGACACCCTCTCTTTCGAACTACGTAGCACGATTGTTTTTGCTTACTTTCTATTTCTTTTTGTCTTTGTCCATGGCCCAGCCTAGGCCCATTTGGCCTGACGGGCTTGTACTTAGCTTGAGTCCATAATCCGGATGTGACCTGATTTGGGTTTGGGCCTAGTATTTATCACCTTGCCCAGCTCATTGGGTTGGGTTGGCCTTGTGCCAGTTAAAAAATAGAAAAAAAATGAATTTTTTAAAAAATAGTTCTTAGATTTTGACTCATTCAAACAAGCTTGCTTGACCCGCTACACAAACCCATTAGGCAAAGCTTCGGCCTAAGCTAATGGCTTAAGCCCATCAAAAAAAATCTAAGCTAACGGCTTAAGCCCATCAAAAAAAATTGCGCTTAACTCATAGGTGGAGCTAAGTTATTTTTGACTTTTTGACTTTTAATCAAACTTTTGACTTTTTTAGACAAATGATTTGAAAAGTTGATAAAAAGTTACTTTTGACTTTCTGATTAATATTTATTTATGATATTAAATCACAATAAAATGACTAAATTATCCTCATTTAATTTAAAATATTTACAACCACAATAAAATGATCAAACTATCCTCATTTAATTTAAAATATTTATAATTTCACCCATATTGCACATTTTGACCAATGAAGAATAGAATTATAATTTCACCATTGGCTAAAAACCAACTTCTTAAATGAAAAAAAAAAGTCAAAAAAGCCAACTTTTAACTTTTGCTACAAACTAAAAAAAGTGACTAAAAACTATGTTCACAAAAGAGGCCAAAGTATATTGAATTCACTAGACAATGTCTCCGGTTTATTTTATTTTATTTTTTCTTCTTCTTATGCTCTAGTGACATTTTGTAAGTTCTGTGATTAGCTTAAGCTTAAGCTTTCAAACAATTTTTTTATTTTTTTTATTTTCTCAATAAGAGATAATTTAATAAATATCATGACACATAATCCCATGCACAGCCACCATCAACCAACTCCCAGTTACGACTGGGCTACCATGCTAATTGTTACCTTACCCAACTATATCAACAAACACTTATTCTAAATTCTATTTTCAAAATTCTGTCTCTGTAAATTTACTCATCAAACTAATTCACACAAGATGATTCTTGCCATAGGAGGGAAGAAAGAGAAGACAAAAGAAAAGAAAAAAAGAAGAAGCAAATATTGGAAGAAAGAAACTCACATATTTCAATTTAGATTTCCTTCCTGTTTTCCTGTTTCCACAAGCTGCAAATCAAAGTTACATTTTCTTTCCTTTTTTTTTCCCCCTTATTTTGGGAAAAGATGAAACAATTTCATCCTACTTGTTCCTCACTTTTACCACTCTCATTTCTTTCCCTTTTTTCTTCTCCTCTGCAAGTGGTGTACTTGTATGTACAATGGAACATTTTCCTCACTATACAGATCATCATTACATATGCATTTCATGGATGCCACAACAACATTACTTGTACACTATCCAGACCGCTAGCGTGTCTCTATTCTTCTGCGTAAAACTGAACACGAACATATCAAAATATTTGATTCAAGCGAAGTGCTTGCACAAATTACTGAACATGAATGAAACGTGGCAGAGTCTGTAGTTGTGGCAGTTCGTTTTCTTCGTCTGATGCAGCAAGAGATAAGTTACGAGCCTCCTAGCACAGTGAACGAAAATCAATGAATTCATGATAAAAATTACTTTTTGTACGATACCATAAGCAGCTAGAAGATGTGAAGAGAAATGATCTTTACTAAATGGTCTATGGAGTTAGATTAGCAATATATTGTGGATCATGAGACGAGCTTATCACAAGTTCACTTGAATATCTTCGTTGAAATTATCCAGGAGGGGCACTTCTGGTCCAATATGGTGTATTTATAAGTAAATTAGTTCATTCCCGCAACAAATGAATTTTAGATCCTTGGGGTAAAAATATTTGCTATCTTCTTCAATCTAAAACTATTTGTTGACCCATTTCATTTTATTTTATTTTTGATAAATAATTTGATGACCCATTTTATGACTAGTAAAAACCTAGCACAACTTAATCATCCACTTAAAGTTTTCAATTTTAGGTGACCTAGGATGCAAATCCATGATTCTAAATTGTTGTCAATTGTAACAAATAAAAACGTCTTTCACTTCGATTTTTCCTTTCTTTTCTTTGCTTCCTAACAAGTAGAAAGGTCTTCAATTGGAATGATTTGACCATTTTTTTTATTTTATGATATTCATTCCAATTGAGGATTATTCTACTTACTTTTTTTTATGCCATTGATGGGATTGAACTGAAGATCATTCACCTTGTGCCGGTCAAGCAAGTATTCAAAAAGACTTCCAGAACAAGTAAGTACTATCTAGATGGAAGTAAGAGTTGAACCAGCAATGGTACCAATGACAGTAAAAGTTCAAGGAGAAAAAGGAAGGGAGGAAACATGGGGGAAATGTTTAAAAATGTAGGTGACTCCAGAGGTAACCAACATAACTGAATTGCCAGAACAAATAAGTACTATCTAGATGGAACTTAAGAGTCCAACCAGCAATGGTACCAATAATAGTTAAAGTTGAAGGAGAAAAAGGAAAACAAACGGGCGAAATGTCTGCAAATGTAGGTGATTCCAGAGGTAACCAACATAACTGAATTGCCAAAACAAACATAAGTTGACATGATACTGACCTGTTGGTGTCGCCGACGTTGGATAGCAGTAAATGCTTTAATCATTATGTAGATTGGCAAAAGAATCCCAATGGTTCTCAACATCAGTAGCTGCAAAACAAACCAGGTATGCATTTTTTAGATATCAATATGATGAGAAAAGCATCATAATTTATTTATTTATTTACTTTTTTTTTTTTGGAAAAAGAAGAGAAGCCATCCTCACCATGAACAGCGTAATTTTGTAATCTCCAGCTCCACCAATTATGGCCAGTAGGGTATGGCGTAAAACTAGAAGAACCATGAACTGCAAATATACAAATAAGAGATGATTTAGTTGTAAGAATGTCAGTGATCTAAAATAACTTCAATGTTTTTTCTTTGATCAGCTAAATAACTTTAATGTTTATGCTTCTAGAATGCTAGATAGTGATGACCTGGTTCTAAAAGTAATCTCTAAGACCCAAAAGAAGGATCTTTAGAAAATTGGAAAAAAAATTATTGCCATGATTATTTTGTAGAGAGAAGGTATCAATGGCTTAGAAAGAAATGATCATGTAACAGTCACATGGTAGTTAAACAGAAACTTCAAGTACTATAAATGGATACTTGAGTAGAGAATATTGATTTAGCCACCTAGATCTTGCCTGTTAAATGTCTCAGAGAGAGAGAGAGAGAGATTACCATTATAGCAACCACACGACAACAAATCTGGCTTCTTGAAGTGGGAGATGAATAGTCATCAAAATTGGAATCCAGAAAGATGCGATCAGTAGCAACTGTAGTTATAAATTGAGGATTATGCAAATCCCTTCTTGAAACCTCCCAATTTCCCCTGAAAGAAACCCCATATGGATGCTCAGTTTATATTGTCAGTGAGAAGAGGGGGAAAAATTCAAAATCAATGCACTACAAAATCTGAAAATCCCAGTTCAAAAATAGAAAAACAAAGTAAAGAAGAAACCTGAAGTTCATTGGAATAGCACCATAATGAAACAGAGGAGGTGGCGCTGTGTAACCTGGCTTGAATTGCTGCAATTTTACATTCATACAAATGAATAGCTAGTAACCATCTCAGGAATTTGATAGGATGGAACAAAATAGATAGAGAGTAAAACACTTTCTTTCTTTTTTTTCCCTTTCTGCCATGCTAAAATGGAATGTGTGTTAGTTATCAAATATCATTGGTTACCAAATAAACAAAAGCATTCCAGAGTCAGAAGCACGTTTAAGAATTAATAGCAGACCTGGCGGCAAATCTCACAGATAATGTCACCCTTCTCGTTGCACCATCTTTGGACACATTTGCGATGGGCATACTGTGAAGATAAACGAAATTTTAAGGAGCAGGTGATAATGATGGAACCATCTGAAACCACTTTACCAAACCTTAGCATTTCAAATATAAGTAATAACAAAAAACAAAAAACAAGAAAGTAAAACAGAGTAATCACACAAGAACACAAAGATATACGTAGTTCGGCTTAGCCTAAGTACATAGGTGAAGAATGACAGAATAATTCACTATCAAAAGAGGGGGACATACAAGAAGCTGCTGTCAAGAATTCTCTCTACTCACACATAAGCCTAATTCCCAAAATAACCCAAAATATATACTAAGATTCGTGAGGATCACTTATGAGTCATATGCTCAAACCAGGTAGAATACAAGACACCCACAACAGTAGCAAAGAAGAAAATATCAAAAGAGAATATAGTACTTCCATAATTAAGATTGACATGATCAATAGAACAAGTGAGCCTACACTTGGAAGTTGGAACTACATATAATTTGAATAGACTATCAACAATTTAGTACTTAAATCAAATGATCAGAGGTCAAAAAAAACAACTGACCTTCAAGCTTCCACAGCACGAACAAGGTATCTCCATTTTTGAGTCATCATCCTCATCGTGGCAAATTCTACACTGCACCATTTTCCTTGGTGAAGATCCAATATCTACATCCATCCTAGGAGAAGAAAAATCATTCACCATATTTTCACTTGCCGATGGTGTGGCATGCTGCAACTGGTTTTTGCTCTCAATAGCTGCTTCAAGGCTTGATTCAGTGAGCAACCGATCAACCAGCAACACAAAATGATCCCCCATCCTTCAAATAATTCACTAAAAAGAAAGAAAAGCCTAATTATAATCAACCAAACCCTTTGTTGATTCCTTCTCCTTGGTAAAATGGCTGGAAAATCAAATCCCAAGAAAATCAACCTGCATTTACGTACAATAGTAATTTATTTAGATAATAACAAGAAGAAAACAAAAGAATTGGAAAAGAAAAGAGGGATCATCCCTTATAGCCAATACCAAATGGATGAAAACCCAATACATTTCAAGTGGCATGAAATAGAAAAGGAGCAAGATATATTAGACCATGATAAAAGATTAAAAACCAAGATTTCAAAAGGCAAATAACATTTTTAGAAAATTAAAAAAGTGTAAAGAAACCCAATAATGGAGGTGAAGGTATGGGTAACAGTCATAAAGCAACTAAGCTACGTCAAATCCAATGCCTAACGTGAAAGGAAAACAAAATTGGGAATATAAAGTTGAACAATGAGAAAATGAAGAGCGAAATAAATGCTAAATGAAGGTACCTTTACAAAAGAACAAATAGTGCAAAACCCGGGAACCAAACAAGCGCAGGAAAACAAGAACACAATAAGACGAAAAATGAAGCAAAACCCAGATCAATCTAGAGGAAAACAAATAAACCCAGATTCCAGATTGCGAAACAAAAGTTAAAATGAAAAAAAAAAGCCCAATTACAGATACGATTCACATAAGAAAGTACGAAACAGAGAGGCTGAGGGAAAAAAAAAAAAAAACCAGACTGTAAAAAGGATATATATATATATATAATCAACATATAGAGAGAGGGAAACAATGCTTACAAGAATAGGATTGGGATATCTGCAACAAAAGGAAGCAATTTTGTCTTTGGCTTTGTTTTTAGTTTTTGCTCTCATTCATTCATGGTGTGCTGTTGCTTTCTCAATTTTTGGGGGTTTTCTTCACAGTTTCTGTTTTGGAATGGAGCAAGCAAGACATGGAAGAGTGTTGTTGTTGTCATCATCGCATCGGTGGTGCTATTTACTTCCTAATCCAATCATCGATGACTATTAATATATTCTTTATTTTATCCTTCCCTGGTATTTTCTCTTTCATGATTGTTGTGGGAGTGAAAAGTGGAAGAGGGAAAGGTGAGGCCTCAGAGGTTCTAACGGCAAAGTCCCATCCCATGACATGAGTCCATCACTACCACGATTCCTCCAACGGTTTTCCTGATATTAGTACTGTAAGGCTGGTTTATCGATTTGAGGAGTAATGTGAAGAGTATAAAATAAAAAGGTAAATAAAACATTATATATATATATATATATATTTTTTATCTTTTTAAATTTTTTTACAAAAGTGATTTGGCAAGGGAAAAAAAATAGGAAGAAAAGATTAAAAAAAAAGGGATAAATTACGCTTTGTCCCCGTAAAATTTTACCCATTTCTTATTTTGGTCCTTTTATGTTTAATTTTTTCACTTTGGCCCTTTATTTTTGTAATCCTTCCCACTTTGGCTTTTTAAGTTTAATTTTTCCTACTTTGACCCTTCATAGTTGCAATTCATCCCACCTTAGTCTTTCATATTTATAATCCTTTTCACTTTATTCCTAAACTAGGTCTTGTTTGGTATGCGAGTGTTTTAACTTAAAAGTCAAAAAGTTAGGGGTTGATTGAGGTGTCTTAAATAAGTACATTTTTTGTCTTTTTGGACTAAAAAGTTGAGAAAAAAAAGATGGATGTTTGAGTTAATTTTTTGACTTTTTACGAAAAAATATGTATTAAAAAATTATATAAATAAGTGTGTAGGAAAAATTAGTGGAGTAGGCATACAGGTTGGGTAGGGTAGTGGGTAAGAGATGGGAAATGATTGCCTCATTTTCAGACTTGAATTGAACGGTATTGTTCAGCTCATGGGGGCCCACCACAGGTCCCATTTTGCTAACCGAAACCGTTCAATGTGTAGAACTCGTCGAGTACAATATGTTTGTAAAAAATCATATTGATTGGATATCGATAGTTATCTGATTGTGTTAGTTTTTTTTGTCAACTATAAACTGTAACATCATTCATTTTTTATACAAAACTGATTTGATCATATAGTTAGCGATATCTGATTAATGTAATTTTTTATAGGCATATAGTTCTGGACGAGTTCTACACATTAAACGGTTCGGATTATTAAAACGGAACCCGTGGTTGGCCCCCACGGGCCCAACATTACCGTCCAACTTAGTGATTTTATATATGTAATTTTTTCCCTCCTGTTATGGTACTAAAGGGGTCAAGTTAGTCCTGAAAACTGTGTAAATATGGATATTAATTTTTTTATATTTTTAATTTGTGAATAGTGATAATTTTTTTGTTTTTTTTTTTGTAACTTTTTGACTTTTTAAATTTTTTGGAACACCCCAAACCAAGCCTTACTAAAAAAATCAAAAAGCCAATAAGTTATACCAAAAACTCAAAAATTTCATTTTCTCTCTACTTTTTACACATCTTTTTGTAAAAAATCAAAAAGTTATTCTAAACATATTAGTTTTTTTTATCTCATATTTTAGTCAAAAAATAAAAAAGTTACTAAAATAGTTTGTTCCCAAACGAGGCATAACTTACATCCAACAAACTCAAAAAAATCTGTCACATCACTAACCCATCAACTCTATGATGATATAAAAAATTCACTCTAAAGATGCAAAAAATAAAAAATAGAAAACAAAAAAATTGGAATTTTTTTTTAGTCTTTAGTGAACTTTTTTTTCAAATTTATTCATAAATATTATTACATTATAGATGCATCTAGATTAGATGCAGCTAAAAAAATAAAAACAAATTTAACTAAAAAAATAAAAAAGTTTACTAAAGACGAAAAAAAATAAAAATATATTGACTCAAACACTTGTATTATTAATTCTGAAATAAAAAATTTACTATCATTTTTTTTCGTCTTTAGTGAATTTTTTTTTTTTTAGTTAATTTTTTTATTTTTTTAGCTACATTTTTTTTTCAAATTTATTCATAAATATTATTACATTATAGATGCATCTAGATTAGATGCAGCTAAAAAAATAAAAACAAATTTAACTAAAAAAATAAAAAAGTTTACTAAAAACGAAAAAAAATAAAAATATATTGACTCAAACACTTGTATTATTAATTCTGAAATAAAAAATTTACTATCATTTTTTTCGTCTTTAGTGAATTTTTTTTTTTAGTTAATTTTTTTATTTTTTTAGCTACATCTAATCTAGATGCATCTATAAAGTAATAATATTTATGAATAAATTTGAAAAAAAAAAGTTCACTAAAGACTAAAAAAAAAATCTAATTTTTTTTGTTTTTTATTTTTTGCATCTTTAGTGAATTTTTTACATCACATATAGAGTTGACGTGTTAATGATGTGACAAATTCTATTACTTTTTTGGATGGAAGTTTGTTTAAGAGTGAAGTAGGAGAGATTGCAAACACGAAGGGTCAAAGTGAGAATGATTGCAAATATGAAGGGTCAAAGTGAGAAGGATTACAAACATGAAGGGTCAAAGTGGGAAGGATTACAAACATGAAAGACCAAAGTAGAAAAAATCAAACTTAAATGGCCAAAGTGGGAAGAAGGATTGCAAATATGAAGGGTCAAAGTGAGAAAAATTAAACTTAAAGGGCCAAAGTGAAAAATGGGTGAAACTTTAGAGGGACAAATGGTAATTTATCCTAAAAAAATTGATAGGATTCGAATTTCAAATTATGTTTAGTTGAGTTAAGAAATAAAGAAAAAAAGAACTTAAATGAACTCAAAAGACAAAAAATATAATTACATTTCGCTCTTACTTTCTTTTCTTCTATGTTTTTCGTCATAACCAAACAAAAATTGAGATTGTATTTTCTTTTCCCTTTTTCTATTTTTCTCATCAAATTCTCCACCCAAACATATCCTCACTTAAGAGCCCAAAAAAATATAAAAAATTAATAGGTGAAAAATCCAAATTTATCTAATTTGATCTAAGAAGAGTTTCAATTAGTCTATAACATATTTTTATATTCTTATAAATCTTATTATTTGAACATTTGATCTACAAAATCATAATTCTCATATTTAAATTATTTTATGAACAATTTTACTCTTGCAAATATTTTTTGAATACTTAGTTGTTTGGTGATGTAAACATTCATATTTTACAGTGTAAATGTTCACATTTACTGTGTGAATGTTCATATCATAGAACATTCACACTATGAATGTGAATACTTCCTCCATCCCAAAATAATAGTCTATTTTGAGAAATTACTTTTTTTAGTAGTACAATTATTACACTTTAAAGATATTAATTTTCCAAAATTACCGTACAGTTTTTTTTAAAAATATCAATTGTCATAATTGTACTTTTTGTGTTATTAATGAATTTAAAAAAAGGTCAGAATAAGAAATTCATATCATTTGAGTCCTTGATTTTTGAAAAAGACTAATATTTTTAGCCAATGAAAAATGAAATAAGAGACTAATATTTTGGAATGGAAAGAGTACTTTTATTAAGGGTATTTTGGTAACTATGTCATCCATAAAACTTATTAAAATATAAGAAAATAATTTAAAATAAGAAATTTATAAATAAATACCCCTTTAATTAATTAATTAATTCATTCATTTATTTATGACAATAATATGTGTTGAAAATAGTTAGAAAAGTCATTAGAAAGTTGCTGATAGCCTGTATCAGTGAGGTGGATAGACATGTAAAGTCATTAGAAAGTTGCTCATAGCCGGTATCAGTGAGGTGGATAGACATGTAAATAGATAGGTGACACGCATACAAATAAGTGACATTTAAACAGATAGTTGAACAAATAAACAACACGTGTAGAGATAGTTGACATTTGAATAGATAGATAGATATGTAAACTTTTAGACACATATTTAGATGGATGATGTCTTTTTGATCCAAAAAATATTTAAATTTGGCCTATTTGTCTATTAAAGCCTTGTTTGGGTTAAACTATATAAGTGTATTTTTTTTTTTTTATACGTGCACTTATTTAGGTCATATCAATTAACATTTCTTATCTATTTTTTATATATTTTTTTTATAAAAAATCAAAAAATACACGTATTTTTTCGAAATGTACTTGACTTTTCCGAAAAATAAAATCCAAAATAATAATGTCAGACCATAATGATAGAATTTTAAAAATTAATATATGACGCATTTCAATGATATGATAATTGTCATGTCTATAAATATATAAAAAAAATTATATGATCTGTTATCAACTTATACTGTAAGTATGTCTTGTTTGGGTAACACCAATCAGATTTATTAAATGAATTATTGGTCCAATTTTCACTTTATTTGGAGAAAATTGAAAAGTCTAAAGTAATGAGAGTATAAGATATTAGGTCCAGTAGATATTTTTTATTGGTTAGAGGTCTACCATTTATAAAATATTTTGGTGAAAAATTCTTTCATTTATTTTGAATGACATTTTATTTTTAATTTTACCCCTTAATTTATCTATTGAATTTTTTTATCTATTGACTTTTCGTTGGCTATCTGTTTAAATTTATATATATATTTGTTCAAATTATTTTCTATCTATTCAAATTTTTATATCTTTTTGTTCAATTTTTTTGCCTTATCTATTGAAATATTTGTCTAAATTTTATTATATGTTCAATTTTTTCATTTATCTATTTAAATCTATCTATCCCAATTTTATTATATGTTCATTTTTTGCTTCTGAATTCCATCTATCGAAATTCTATCTGTTGAAATTTTGATTATCTTTGTTCAAAATCCATCTATGTAAAATGCCAGTTGTTTAAAATTCAGATCTAATCCATTTTTTTAACAAATATGAACAGATTTGAGCCACTTTGAACAGACATGAACCATTTTTTAACAGATCTGAACAACAACAAAGATTCATTATCATCAAACCACATATTCATCATTATCAATAACAACAACTGTCATGGCCCTAACCTGCCTCTAGAGGTTAAGGATCATGACCGGCTTGCTTAGGCCTCCAAGACAAAATTTCAAAAATATTTAATTAGAATCGGGGCCTAAAATGGAAGTAAAACAAAAATAAAAAAGTCCATTAAGTTGTGTGTACATGATAGATTGAAATAATTCAAACATTCATATTACATATATAAAGACATATCTTATACATATCTCACACACAATTAAGACTTGACTAAAATATACAACTCTATCAGAACAAAACTAAAGCCTCGATACAGAGGTACTACTTGGGTGGCTTGACAAAGTGT